GAGAGAGAGAGAGAGATTTTCGTTCTTGAGCAAATGAGAGGGAGGTCAATCATGAGATCTATAATTTGTTGCATTTCCATGGATGCTTCACACGAGTAGGCTCCTCTAGACACTAGAGTGAAGGGCGATCCACGGGGACACTAGACATGTGAACTAATTATAAAAACGGCACTTGTTCCAAAACTAAGACAACCTATTTCCCCCTACCATGTGCTCGATAGTAGTTTTAAGTGAGCCCTTCAGAAATCTCAAATGCTAGGCTAGAGCAGGAAAGGGAGGGCAAGTTGGAAAGAAACTTGGGAATGCGGCTCTTGGTTCGGTGGTGAGGGCGGTGAAATTGCAATTTGATGTCAAGAGTTCCATGCCCGACCTTACTAACCTAAACAATGTTGGAAGAACTTGTCTTTTCCCTCTTTTTCTTGCTTGGAAAATCATTTGCATTTTGGGTGCTTGTAATCCCAATGTTTTTATGAAAATTGCTAATTAGTACCAGTTTCTGAAATGGGATAGTATTCTGAAACATTACCCAGATGCTGTATGGTATATGGTACACCACAGGGTCATCCCTAATATGTTCCTATCAACAGATTCTGGAGGTCAATTATATGTTTTACTTTTTGATGATAGACATTTGCTGGAAGATAGTGGATGCTCCCATTTTGTACCATACACCTCTGCGGTAAGGTATATGGTTCAAAATGTCATACACCACTTATAATATACGATTACCACTTATAATATACCATTTACTGCCGTTTTAGGGCATGTGGTAAACCGCTTACTTCAATATTTGCAATTCCACGTATTCCAGTCAACATCTTGTGCCCCAAATCTGTGGAAAAAGATCAACATATTGTGCCCTACAATTTCTTAGAACTTCACTTGATGGCTTTAAATTCCAATGCAGATTGTTGAGGCCAGGAGCATGCTAATGCATGAGCTTCAAAACCGGACAAAGAAGGCCTCTGAGGGCTTAGACAGAAGCCCACCCCATGTCCAAGAAAGCATCAATTTGGAGCCCCAAGATAAGCCTGCTGCCACCTATCTCGAACCCACTAGCTCAGGCCCTATGGACTCTCAAACCTTTGAAAAGCAAACTGAGCCAATTGATACTAGGGTTGTTGACAAATCAGTTATAGAAGAATCACCTGTAATCCAAAATAAAGGGGTTCTAAGCTCCACTTTGAAGGTTTCATCTGATCCCAAATTCGAAGATGGGGATGATTGGTTAGAGGAAGAAGAAGGTAATGAGATGGGGGGCTCAGTTGGGATAAAGGCTTTATTGGGTAATGAAGAGGATGTTTCTTTCAGTGATCTCGAAGAGGAAGAGGATACTATTGCTGCTCCTTCGGGTTCTAGGGCAACGGGTGCGAATGCTTTGGGTCCTTCATCTGCTAGGGTTACGAGAGACTGGGTACAGCTGAACAATAGCTCAAGTGAAGAGGAAAGAGAAAAGGTTTCGGGTGGGGGTAAGGCTCGAGGGGGTTCAGATACCGGAGAGGGGAGTGACTGGCTAAGGGTCGACGAGGATGATGTGGTGTGAATGCGAAGTGTGAAAAGTTAAAGTGATCTCTCTCTCTATTCATACACGCACAGAGTGACTAAGTGACACCAGTTAAAGTTCATTGTCGTTTGTATCTATCACCATTCCCACACACTCTAGCTTCTGTTATTTTATTGAGCTTATGACATGCTGCTCTGTAAGGTGCTGTAAATATTCCTCAATTTCATTTGTTTGGGTTCTCCTTCATGGGACGTTGGAACCTCTGAACTCCATGTTCGCATGCTTCATTTTGTGACTTATAGAAGTTGCACAAGCTGGTTTACTGCTATCGTTCCCTTCTATCTTCAACGGGAATGCCATTCCATTTTTCAAGATTAAAATTATATGGACAGTAAGAATGTCTTTTCAGTTTTTGAAATTAATTATTGGGGACTTTTCACACCTATCGGGAAAAGCTCAGAAATAGGGACATGTTTCAGCATCTTATATCCAGTGGTGGGAATTAAGGGATGGTGAGTGATCCATTGGACCACCATTTTCATGGTCGTTGCTGACATCAACGTCCAATACTGGATCAAATTTACTTCCCTTTAAGATCAGTAGAGGGGATATTTGAGCGCGCAAGCAGTTTACATATCCATTTTATGCAAGGAAGACGTATATAAGGTTGCAACCCAATAGTATAGAAGTAAGATATACCTTAAAAATCCAATAGAAAAGAGTATCTTTAAGTTGGAAGACCTTTCAATTGATCAATCTCAACTTGGATCAATATAAAGAAATTTTTTTTTAAACCTTAAAAATAATACATATTGTAAAAAGTTGTTTAGGAGCATCTAATTTTAAGATTTTCAAGTGTTTATAGATCTGTTCAATTTGTATTGGTTTTACAATTTTAAATCTCATAATTAAGATTTGACATGAATTTTCAAGCTATCGTTAAGGCTTTGGACACCAAAAAGTAGTGCACTTTAATTATATGGTATAAGGTGTGCTATAGAAACCTCGTCCTTTATGTAAAAAGTGAGGTTTGCATAATGTTGCAACATTAAACAATCAAAATAAAACGCACCTCCAAACTTTGTCAAGATACAATTTCACTATCGAAAGTTTTTAAGATTGCTGATAATCTATTTTTCATCTTTAACTATAAAATTTTAAACTCAATAAATAGTTTTAACTTAAGTAGATCTATAAAAGTATGAAAATCTTAAAAATAGATGGTCTAGATAATGTGTAGCAACATGTACATATCTGTACATCTCGATCTTCAAATAATCAATTAGATGGTTTTCCAACGTCAAAATAGTTTGTTCTCATGGATTTTTGAGGTGCACATTAATTTTAATTCTATGGTGTGAACCTTACATAAACTTTTCCTTAGGTACAAGGCAACGTGTAAAAGCATTTAGAAGAGACTTGAAAACCCTCACCCTCCAAGCCGTTTGATGTCAGATGGGTGGGGTGCGTCGTTCCTCCAATCAATGTTAGTCGAAAAGTTCTCAACAGAGGAACCACACATCCCAGCCGTCAATTTCCACATCAGCGTGCTTAAGAGGGCATTGGAGATTTGTCTTGAAAATCTATTCCACTCATGGCATATGGGCAAACGTTTGGCATACCTTGCGAACATGGAAACTATCTTAGCTAAAGATAATAAACTACTTGGCTTTTAATTGATGCTCAATTCTCACTTTCTGTTACTTTCACGTCGAGAAGCTTGCTCCAATTTTATACATGCATAGCATAGGGAAGTGATATCACGCCGGTTGAATCCTTAGATTTGTTGAACTCACATCCTTATTCATCGATGAATCTCATAAAATATTCATCTTCCTCGGATAGGCTCTCCATTTTTTCTTTAACGCTATAAAGTAAAACACTTTGACAGTGTAAGGTAGGCAAGGGCCCAAAAATTTAGTTCCAGCCCTGGCCAGCCTTGGCTTGAGCTCATGACACAAAAGCCCGAACCACGAAAAAAGGGCTGGCTGGGCTGGGCGGGAACCTATACAAATATAAAGAAGAAAAAACATATTTAGAATAGATAATACATAATTTTCTGGCTGGGCCTAGGTCCCTCCCAAAAATATTTCGATACGAGGGACATGTAACTTGAACCGTGGGCATTAACATGCAGCCCGGAGGCAACCTGAAAGTCCATACACCGGTCCAGTGAAGATTTGATTTTAAGCCATTAAATCTCAAAATAATTTTTTTTGTTCTTTTCCAAATTTGGTCATATGAGGATGACAATTTAAAAAATAAAAACATCTTTTTAAGAATCAGATCTAACTGGCCTATCAGGATTCATTACGTTCAGCAAAATCAATTTACAATGTATTTTTTAAATTCTATTGTTGATGTTGATCATTGGGACACATGAAATTTTATTGTTGATATTGATCATTGGGACACATTTCAAAACATGATACAGTACAGATAAAAATTTTCAGGTAAATTCAAAATTTGGAGTTTGAATACCTTAATTTGGCCCTACGACGGTAGGTTCAGTGTCCAGGTTAGGCTAAGCCATGGCACGAGGTTCATAACTTGGGCTAGCCCTGCCCTTCTGTTTCTGTTTTATAATGAATTTAGAAAAACGAAAAAATCAATATTCTACTGGCTTGACGGGACCCAACCTCATTAACAGGGATGGACGGGGCCTCATAGCCCAAGACTAGGGCCATGTCCCATTAAGCTCTACTTGTGCTAGGCCAGGCTTGAGCCACCCGGCCAAACCCGTTCCTACCCATGTGTATGAATTTTTGTTCACAAAAGTTATCAAACTACACTTAACATTTGAGTTGTCTAATTTTAAACAGCCCATTTTGGATCAAATTCCAAGTAGGTCTGGCAATTGGCCGGGCCTGCCTTGGCCCTTGTCCCTAAACCTGGTTTGTCCCAAGCCTAGCCCCGCGTGGACCTGGTCAAAGAGGTCCTGGTCTAGACCAGGTCCTAGCCATGTCAGGCCTAGCCTGAGCCAGATCTCATGCAAAAAACATGAAAAAATAATAAAAGATAAAATTAAGAAAAAAGAGGGTCCAGCTGGGCCAAATCAAGCCTGCCCTATTGTGGGCCTGTGGTGGCTAGGCCCAGACACCCAACCCTAATTGTAACTATCCCATCAAATACACATCAAAATTAAATTTACAATTTATTAAAGTACACCTAAAATAAATTATTAAATAATATTATATCTTAGATGTAATTGGATAAATTTCTCTTCTTTTTTATTATTATTATTATTATTATTTTTTTGAACATTGAATTTCTCATCCTTCCTTCGGGGTTTTACACCTACTCGAGTATATGATGATTGGGCTCTATAACAGAGAAAGGCATTCAAATTCATTACGTATATACATACTCGGTTTCAAAGAATGCACAAAGAACAGTCCCTCCACTATATGGGCGGCGACTCTACTACATGTGCATCCCACGCACCCATACGCATACTCCAAATGAAATGCAATACAAATACGCCACCGACCAATCTACACCCTACGCCACCGACTAATCTGTCACCACCACTGTCATGGACGCATCAATACAATTGAATGCAAACCAAAACTACGATAAGGCCCGAAACCCATTTTTACATGCTATACACAGAGAAAAGGAAAACACATGAACAGGTTAAAGGTGCACTGTGTCGTCCATTCCTTTCCAGTTGAGGACCTCATGAGCCAACCCTAATCGCCTCCCCCTCTTTTTCGCAAGAAAGTGAGACTCAATTTTAGGGCCTGATTGAGCTGAAATGGATGGAGGCAGACAAAGAACAATCTTTTTTGCATTTTCAGGATCTGATAGAGCCAAAGTTACCGGACAGACGCTCAATGTGGGACCAAAAGAGGCTCCCAAGTGAAAACTTTGCAGCATGCTTCTCCTCAGGTGGAGCTTTGGCGGTCGCCGTTGCCGGCCTTGCAGAGTCGGGGACTCTGCGCACCTCAAGAACTGCCTGTGGCCCTATCTCCTGCCTGATTGCGTCCAGCGTCTTCGCATCGATGGCAGCCTCGTCTGCCCTGCAGACGTAGAAGCTGTTGAGGGCACGGCCACCACGTGTGGCCACATCAGCTCGAACAACTGAAAGGCCATTCTCACGGAGCACGCGAGTGATGGCCGAGAGGAGGCCAGGGCGATTGACGGTTCGGATGTCTAGTCGGAGTCCCTGTGCAGAGAGAGACAGAGGCAAGAGACAGGGAGGTTTTAGGAGGAAGAGCATATAAGGTTGCTTATTGAAACTGCGCATACACAAGCATTGAAAACCTGGCGTTATCAGGACCAGACTAGCCTTCAAAATCGTTCTAGCCAAACCGGTTAGACCAAGTCTCATAAATCAAAACAGATCGACTGTATCTCATTTTTATCTCAGATTAGACCAACTTGTTGACAGTCGATTGGTTGGACACTGATTCAATCTATTGTAGTGTTTGATTGCACTGACCACAAAACCCAACCATGGGCCCTAAAGGAATAACCCACAACTGATCCAGGTAACCAACCCTAACCAGGCAAGTCCTAACCAAGCTAAAACGGATAATATTTAAAAAAATATATATTTAAAAATACTAAAAAATAAAAATATGTTTAAAATACATTAAATAAAATAAATCCAAATAAAATTTAAAATTTAGCAAAAAAGTGAATTATGAAAAAACAATTTGTGCCTAAGGGCATTTTAGAAATTATTTAAAATATATTTATATAGAAATAAATATTTATGGCCAAAATGTTTCCTCATCTTTTCTAAAAACAAATTTTTTAAATCATTAAAGATCAAAATTTTTAAATTTTTTTTATAATTTTAATTTTAAGATAGGGTGGTCAAATCGGTTGACCCCCTGATCGGCTACAGCCAGGGTCAGGCTGGCCGCTCCTAGTCGACCTGGCCAGTTTTGCAAATAATACTCTTATGGACTGTATTGCCTCGATCGCAATATTAATACGTTTATGAAAAAGAGGCGTTTTTTTTAGAGGGAGAGAGACTTACGTGGGAGACACGGCGCTCAATAGCCGCTTCGATGCACTTCATCACGCCCTGCTTCTCGGCCTCGCTGTCCAAGGGGCACCCGTCCGTGCGACGAATGTAATACTCCTGTTTGGTAAACGACTGAAAGATCAGGTCGACGTTCAAAAAACGTGTTCAACGGGCCGTTATAACCAGAAAAAACAGGTATTACCGATAAAAATCGCCCAGCCAGGCACGTAAAGGAAAAAATAATAAAAAAAACAGAAGAAACATATGAGAAGATTATAATGGTCATTATAGCCAAAAACAAACAGCTTAGTAGCCGAAAATAGAAAAAAATAAAAATATGGGAAATATTAAGCATAAAATTCTTTTTTCCGTAATGAAGATTTTACATCTGATGTTTCATAAATGACTGTTATTTTCATTTATTAAGCATTATTTAACTATTGAGCCAAATATAACGGGCGTGATTCCGTTTTGCATGCACATTTATTCAAAATAATGGCCATTCATCTGCCTAAGCGTAACGTATTGACCTTGTAACGTCCGTTACCTCTATGTAGAGGCAATTTCTTAACCTTTGATCAGATGACTAAACCAAGGGTTCTCACTTTGTTCTCAATAATCCACTGGGCGTGCGTCATATGAGAAAGACATAGGACAAAGACTTCTGTACTGTACATGAACTCTCGAGATATGTGAAAGACATTTACCCCGTCAGTTTATTGGATAGTCTTTATAAAATCATTATTGCAAAGATATTTGCCAATCGATTACAAAGGGTGATCCACTTGGTTATTTGAGGTCCTTAATCTGCTTTCCTAAAGGACAAACAAATTATAAAATAGCAATCAGGCAACTCAAGAATGTATTGATTCCAGAATCAAAGAGAAAAAATCGGATCCTCTTTGTAAGGTGGATTGGAAAGTGCTCCAAAGTATCATAGGCAGCATAGGTTTTAGATCGAAGAGGATATGGAATGAGGGATGTCTTTCATCTTCTCACAACTCAATTCTCGTGAATGGTAAGGCAACTGGTTTCTTTTGGAGTTCTAGAGGCCTCTGACGAGGAGATCCTCTATCATTTTTCTTATATACTTTGGTGGCAGAAATCTTTCTTATATATATTGGTGGCAGAAAGTTTCAGTGTTATGCTAAGATGTGTCTCTTCACAGGGTCTTATTTTAGGCATTGAGTTTGGGAACAATGGTGTAACAATATCACACTTACAATATGCAGATGATACCATAATTTTTTGTTATCCAAATGTAATGGAAATCAGTAGATTGCAGATACTTCTAAAGAGTGTTGAAATGACAACTGGGCTGAAAATAAATCTCTCTAAAATTAAGTTGATCGGAATTGGATGTCCTCAAAACATAGTGTCAAGGATGGTTGCACTACTCGGATATGGTATTGAGAAGATGCCATGCAAATATTTGGGCATCCCTTTGGTGGATTCGAGACCCTCAAAATCTATTTGGGAACCAGTTTTGTGGAAGGCAAAGACTTTGTCTCTAGGAGGTTGATATACACTTATCAAATCTACTATATCTAACTTTTCAGTTTACTATATGTATTTCTTTAGAAAGCCTACGCAGATTGTTAGCATTCTAGAGAGACTTATGAGGAAATTTTTGTGGGGAAATGATGAAAAGCCGAAAAAATTTCATTTGGTTAGTTGGGCCAAGATGTGCGCACCTATAAAAGAAGGTGGTTTGGAAATTCGTAGTTTGAAAAACACGAACTCTGCATTACTCTTAAAATGGTGGTGGAGAGTACATACCCACCAAGATTTCCTTTTGGGTACAGGTGTATGGTATTATAAAAAGGTATTATAAAAAGCCCAAGGAATAAGCCCACTCTTTCCCATATTGGAGGGGGATCGACTTCAAGCGACCTAAATATCTTTGTGGTGACTACCCTCTCAAATACCTTTTCTATGAGGTGTTCTCCAAAGTCTCAAACCCACTAGCTACAGTAAAGGAGGCTAGTTAGGATGTTCATATTAACATTGTTTAATCTATTCATTGCAGGTACAAGACAATGACTGATACTTATCCATGACTGTCAAACTTTGTTGGATATGTTAAACAATGCCCAGCTTTTCCCTAATCTACAGGATGATGTGATTTGAGACCTTACTACCTCGAGTGATTTTTCGTTAAGTTTCCATATGCTCTTATCTTCTGGGATCGATATAGACAACTGGATCTAGGACTTTCCCAAATAAAGAAACTTCATGTTCTGCTTAAAGTTCAGTTGTTTCTATGGATACTTCGTCAAGATAAGCTAATTACTGTGGATAACTTAAGGAGGCGAGGGTTCAGTATATCCAATGTCTGCATTTTGTGCAAAACTAGTGATGAGACAACCTAAAATTTATTCATCTTTTGCCCTTTCATTTCTGATATTTAGAATTGGGTTCGCCAATGTTTTAACTTATCCATTCCAATTCCAGAATTTTGGAGACTGCTTATCACTCCATGGTTATCCCCTGGTATTCCAAAGATGAGTAATATATTTTTGACGTTCTTTATGGGTAAGTGTCCTTTGGGGTGTGTGAAAGGAGAGAAATCAAAGAGTGTTTGAAGGACTTTCTACTTATTTTGCTATGCTAAAATCTAACATTTTAGCCTTAGTAGCAGATTGGTTTTCCTCTCACAAAAATAGTAGTACTACATCAAAGAGTCTTATCATTAACAATCCCTTAGCAGTTGCGACCTTGGGCAACATGAGAGCTAGCTGAAAAGATGTTGTTTGGTCCTCTCCTCCTTTATATTCAATCAAATTGAACTTTGATGGTAGCAAGTTTGGCAATCCAGGGGCAATTGGATATGGTGAGTTGATTCTAAATCATTTTTGTCATGTCTTGTGCTCATATTCAAGCCCGTGTGGTATTGCTACTACAAATAAAGCAGAGGCTAGAGGTTTCCTTAAAGGTTTGAGACTTCTTTCACGGTGGAAAAGGCAAAAGATTATTGAAGGAGATTCGGCAAATGTCATAGCTTGGAGCCGTGAATAATTCAATATTCCATGGAACCTTAGAGTATTATTTCATGAGATTAGGAATATCCTTTCTTCTATTAACGTCAATTTGCATCATTGCTTTCGTGAGGCGAATGAGGAGGCAAATGCCTTAGCCAAAGGAAGAACAAACTCCACTTTTCTGCTTGTCAATTTTTCTAATGCTTCTTCTTTACTTCTTATATATCTTGTATTTTTTAATTCTTTTTTTATTTAATGAAAATGTTGTGTTAATGTTCAAAAGAAAAAGAAAAAAGAAGAATATCTTGTATTTTTTAATCTTTTTTTATTTAATGAAAATGTTGTGTTGATGTTAAAAAAAAAAAGAAGAGAAGAATATCTTGTATTTTTTAATTCTTTTTTTATTTAATGAAAATGTTGTGTTAATGTTAAAAAAAAAAAAGAAAAAAGAAAAAGTTATGAAGTATGAAAAGAGAGAAGAGGTCGATAAGAATATGTCCTATACATGAAATCGAGAGGCAATGAGCAATGTTTATGGACTAGGCACGGGCATCAGACTTGGCCTTGGCCTGAGCTAAGTCGGATTCCGTCGAGTAATGTATAAAGCCTAAAAAGCCTTGAAAAATAAAAAATTCAAAAAATACTAAAAAATAAAATAAAAACTTTAAAAGTGAAATAAAAATAATCCAAATAAGCTGATTTTTTTTAAAAAAAATCATGGATTTAAAAATATTAGATTATAGTTGGAAACACTTTAGAAAAATATAAAAATAGATCATTTGACAATAAAAACTCATAGAAAAATATAAAAATAGGTCATTTGACAGTAAAAACTCATAAGTTATTTTAAAACGCGTCCAAATATAATTTTTATATCGTATATTGATCAGACATATTTATATTATATTACTTTAAAATATTTTTTTATTTTTACATATCGAATTTTACCCGAATACCTGGCTCAGTGGAGGGTGAGTCCAAGTAACTCGGCTAGTCCTGTTGAGTCTACCAAGTAGCTAAATATAAGTAGAAAAAACGTTGTCCAAACAACTCAGCCGAGTCTGAGTAGACTGAAGACCAAGTGATAGAGCAGGAGAATACCTGAACGGCTTGGGACCCACTTGAGCTGATGGCAGCATGAAACACAACATATTGCATATCAGTGAGAGCGCACACAGTATCCAACAACAGCTTGGGCCTGTCCCTGCTCTGTACACTCACCACAGAGTACCCCTTCTCTCCGCACCTCTCTACCGACACGCTTGCCCTGTTCCTCCCCACCTCTCTCTCTCCTCCACCTTCAAAATCTCTTTCCGCCACCATCATCTGATGCAACCTCCGCTCCACCCTACTCAACCCCCCTTGCCTATCACCACATGTGCACGTCCCCCCTGTTAAGAATCATAAGCAATGAAAGTGCAATTACCATCGTGTAACTGCGAGTCTTATGACACTTTAATCTTCGCAGCTAAATTGGATGAATGAAAAGAAAACGCATAATGGAAAATAAAGGAAATATTGGAGATCGAAGAATAAGAGACTTCTAATGATTATTTTTAGAACCACCACCACCATAATATCAATAGTTTTCAAAGTGACGGATAATTCCCATATATCTACCTAGCACGCTTGCCAACTGTTCACGCACACAGGCCAGGCGCTCTGGATCATCCTCGATGGGGGCCCCCGTGTCACCATCGGCCACATGGACAATGCAAGCCATTCGGCCGTTGTGGGTCCAGAATTGCATAGAGCTGACATTGCAGCTGAGGTCTGCAAGGACAGCGGAGATCTCAGAAAGAAGGCCCAGGCGGCCGGGGCCCGTCAGCTCGAGGGCAGTGCCATGGTCAGTAGGCGCAGATTCGGCACTCACAATCCTGCCAAGACAGGTCTTCACCTCCCCAGCTCCACCGGAGCCCCTCCTTGCACATAGGACCTGCGTGAGAGAGAGAGACTTCATAGAAAAAAAAGGAGGATAACCGTGCCTACTCCGCACGAGAATTATACCACAAAACAATTGGAGGCAATGACTAGTGTATACACTATAGTAGTTTTTTCAAAATCATATACCGAAATTAAAACTTGTAACTGTGTTTCATTTGGCAAATTTCATAAATGTCGTTAGGCCCTAGACAATAAAGTAAGCACACCTTGAAATAGCGTCCAAAGATGTTATTTCAGTATTGAAAATCTTTGTGATGGTATCGAAATTTATTTTCATCTCTGTTCATAAAATTTAACGTTTAAAAAATAGTGTAGATCAAATAGATTTTTGAATACCGGATAATCTTGAAAATTGATAGTCTAGAAAATACATTATAAGATCTACTATTTTTAATATTTGGAATCCATTTTTTCTCATATTCATACATCTTAAGGTATGAGATGATCGATTTGAGATTTTTTGGGCATCGAAACAATCTATTCTGGTAAATTTTTCAAGTGTGCTTTAATTTAATTGTTTAGGGCCTCACCCTTATAGAAAGAATTTTCCTTTCATAAGTTCAAATGTCCACAATGATTCTTAAGCTCTCAAAAGTGATTAAGAACACAATTTCAAATTTATTTCTATGTTAACGTTCCAATTTATGTTCATCATAATATTGAATTTTCGCTTAGCTTAATTTGGCGAGGAGTAGCAAATTCATATCCACTCCGTAGGTGAAGCATTTCAAGGCAGTGCTCCAAAAGTGGAAACATCTAGGAAGTTTTATGAAGACTGAAAATGACTTCAATTTGATAAAAAAAAAAAAGAAAAGAAAAGAATAGTAGAACCGAATTATCACACAAAATTAATGAAGGAATGGTTTGCTTTTCAAGTTTCATTTAAAAGGGGTACCTCGTGTGCTTGACTTTATGAAGGCGTCTTTCAAAGAAATGGTTAGTTTTCTATTGTTAACCCTAAACCACTAAGTGCATTTAGGTAATTTCCGGTACCATTTTCCTTATTCTCAACAACCAAGGGCATCCATGCAATTTAGCTCGAGCCGTTTTAAGTGTGCTAAAGTATCAAAATGCATGTCCCTCATTGTTGAAGATTCACAATCCTGACTAAAGGTAATTTGAGAATTTTTAAACAATTATTTGTCGAAGTAACTTTTATCACCATCGTTATCATCATAATTTTTTTTCAGTTATTTGAGATCGGCTACATGAATTTTAGTTCGCTATTCTGTTCTATTAGAGGCCATATCCTCAGTGAGATCATAAGTCTCTATATTTTTTATGAACTGAGTTCTTCTGAGCCATTTAACGAGTTTGTAAGATAATACAAACCAATTAATGGTATTTCTTGTTATGAAGAACCCTTCAATGGTACTTTCCCTATTGAAGACTCTAAAATTTGTCCTCTATCGCACAAGAGTCAAAATCTCTCTTTCTCCCTCTCGACCCACACACAAGCTTCATTTTAGCATTCACCGTCACAATTTCTGAGCTTTGAACTCTACCATTTACTCGTAGAAAAGACACTAATGCGGTTCTACAAGGTCATTGTACATAATCTTATATGACGTACCTGCTCAATATAATGGATAAGCCTCTCGTCAGTTATTTTGTTCCCAAGCTGGTCCGTTACGTGGAACACTGCAACAAGTGTTAAATAATTTCAAGTCCATCAAAACATGTGAAAAAAAGATCCACATATTTTCCCCTTAAATCACAATTAACAAACATTTATCAATGACTTCATATGTGGGGTCAAAATGGATACATAAGTTCATGCTAACTTGCCGTCCATGAACCATCCTCCATCCGAGGAAATGTAGGACTTTGATATCAGCAAGTCTAGATCTGTTAGAACTTGAACCATCTCCAAAAGGATCCCATGTTTGTTCGCACTATCAACCTAAGAGAAACGAAAACATATGTTCCAATGTAAATAGCTTTGTTAAAAAAACAAAAAATGTCCCGACGTAAATAGCAACAATAGAACCATAAATTCTTCATAAATGTTTAAAAAATTGGAATAGGAACTAGGGGCAATGGTGGGATTCCTAACTTTCCGGTGCTAATCAGAAGGGGTCACACTCTACAAAATTAAAAAATGTTAAAAAATTGAGCATATTGGGCAATTACAGGGGGTTTTTCCTATGGAATTGCCCACTTCCTGATCCCTTACTTTGGACGATTTATTTTCGGATCAACGATTTTTCGAACACTGTTATATTTTTATGCCGGATCAGCAACCTTTCGAACATGGTTTCATATTGAAAAGCCCCTAGGCACACAGTCGTATAGTAACGGGTTGCTAAAGAGGGCAATTCTTATGTTCACTAAGAACGGTTCACGCCTTCATGGCATCTTTCAAAAATAGTTGGTTTTGAATAAGGGTGGCAATGGCCTGGAGCCTTGGCCCTAGCCAAGCCAATGAAGAACATTAAAAAAAAAAATAATGCTAAAAAAAAAGGCCGGCCGGGCCTCGATTGGACCTCGGGCCACAGTTTGTTGCCCAGGCCCAATTTTTTGGGCCCGGGCAACCCGGCCCACTAACAGCCTTAATTTTGAGGTGCTTGGGCTTACACATGATGACAAGTCCACGCACGTGTCTTTGACGTGTGGTTGGGTTACGTGAGATGATGGATGACATGAAAGAACATTATTGATAAATCTCATGTAGATGTCTTTTGATTGTTTCGTGCTCGGTAGGAGAAATTATAGCGTACGATTCTTAAAATTTAAGAGAAATGTGATGTGCACAATGAAAAGCATTATATATCATGTCCCTCTTGAGCATCCACCGTCCAAAACTAACGATTAAGAATCCAAAACAAAGAGACTGGACTAACCATTATGCCCCAATGTACCATGACTGCATCCTAGGAGATAGGATATGTAATGTTCCCTAGTGAGATCTAGGACACCCAACCTAATTCCACCTTGGCCCAAGAAGGTAACAGTAGAAGTGAAACTCTGTGTCACAAAAGTTATTTATTTATTTATTTACTTTGGACATTTTTGACCTACCAAATATTCCCTGTCACTCAATTTCACATCTAGTAGCTTACCGATGTTTATTTTGTCATTTTACTCAAATTAATTTTTTTGTCTTGTGAAATCTGTAATAAGCGGTCTGAGAGCTTGCTCATCTACTTCACTACCAAAATGTCAAATAATGATCCTATACACCATCCTTCATAAATAAATTATAACATCATAGGTAGATATTTTTTATTATTTTTTAAAAAACATACAACTGGGAGAATGTTTATATAAAATTATATAAGATGTCAATCTTAATAAAAGTAAGCAATACCCCAAACCATCCAAGTTCACATATCACAACTAAAATTAAAATTACTATAATGGCTAGTGGTGTACTTTCCCATTCTACTCAAAATTTCTCTAGCTTTTTCCGCGTGAAAACTGAAATGATAGGACGCTATCCTCCAAAAATTATTTGTAGACCTCTTTATTTTCATGAAGAATGGTATACAACAAGGACATCTACTTTTGGTTTATTTAAAGTCACAATTAACTACAAGAACTACAAGATGTTAAATTGGCTATTTGGAGGTGCACTATTCAGTACTCTCAAAGTCTAAACAAAAAAAAGAGGGTCCGTACCCTTGGTAGGAATTGAGCCTAGGACATAGCGTTGCAAACCGTGAAACACTGATCAATTAAGCTCAGACGTCGCTGATCAATTAAGCTCAGACTCTTTTCCTAAGTCCAAATAAAGTTATCTTCACCAAACAGATTTATCTTGAATTTTGCAACACACCTCCAACTGATTTCGTAGTTGATGTCCTTTTGATACCAGCGATAAATGGTTTCCACTATGCGGTCTCCTTATATAAAATCCCAAGCTAACACAAATGCGATCAAATTTATCAGGACAGGAAGGCAACAAAATCCAATTTGAAATTTTCCTCTTCAAATTGGATTCAGCTACTTTTTAGGTTTTCCTCCCCCTGATTTTCATTCAAAAATGGCTTTTATGCCCTTTTCTAATTCAAATTTTCACACTAATTTTCTCAGGCCCTCCTTTATATATGCAAAAAAGAATCTAGGATCAAAATTATTAGGGCGAGATCTTATGACAAAAATTTCACTATTTCGAAGCTCAAACCCCAATCTTCCTTTGTACGGATTCTCTTTCTATTATCCACCAAAAGCTCTAAAATTTGCTTCAAACTTATTCTTTTAGATCATGATTTGATGAATTGAAGACCAAGTTCAAAGAGATGTACATTTGAAATTTTGGATGTTTTATTAACCCGAAATAAAAAATCTTTGTTGCTCACTCATAGTTTCCTGTTAGTTTAAATCTGTATAAAAAGTGTTGCCACAACATTGGTTACAAAAGCCCTAACAAAGTTTTTCAAATCAAAACAAAAAATATGGAAGATTAAATTTTGGTTTTTTTTGGACTATTTTTTCGGCCACTTTCATTCCTACTTCTTTTTTTTAAAAATTTTGATTTACCTTTTTACTTGTTTTTTATTTTTATTTTTTTCATTTACCTTTTAGAAATAAGTGTTCTGATTTTGAATCGTTAAATTTTATGCTATTTCTGTATTTTTTGATAGTTTGCTCTTTTTCCTCATCTTTTTTTTTTTTTTTAATATAAATATTGGCTTGCTCATTGTGTCAACTAAGTGTACTAGACCAGCAGGCACCCGGTTAAGGTTCCTAAGCTGAATTTTATGAAAATTACTTCAGAAAAATTGGAAAAAAAGTTTCTCACAGGCGGTGCCCACAGTTACCATGCTCATGTTCGTAGTATTTTACCTCTGAGAGCTCTATAGAATGTGATGACTTTGTACCAGGGGAAAAGTTTCCAGAAGTGTGTTAACTTATACACATGACATAAAGTGCACCTCAAAAAACCCATCAAAAAAGTTCGCTATTATGCTGGAAAAACCTCAAATTGATCACCACGAGGTCTAGTTATATGGATAAAAAAAAAAAGAATGATTCAAAGTTATAAAATAATGCATCTTGTAGCACAATATCCGTAACATCTATTTCTAAAATTTTTGATGTTTTATAGATATGCTCAACTTACAAGCTTTAATTTTTAAAAACTAAGTTGACAATATATTTCATGCCATAGTGTATATCTTTCGACATAGTTTTAAGGCACAAAATATATTTCATGCCATCACATGGATTTTCAACACTGAAACTATATCTTTGTCGTTTTAAGGCACAACTTACTTTGTTTGATATTAAACTTTATACAAACCACACCCTCGTACCAGATGTTAATATAAATTGATTTCCTACCCCTTTCCATGTATCTGAAGCATTGTTCGCAAAATGGCCGGTCCAAACCGGAACCGGCCTGTTAGATCGGTACCGACAAGATACCGATTCCGGTTAAGGCCTATTTCGTGGTACTACTCAATAGATGCTCATCTTCAAAAAAAAATTGGTACAAAAATCAGTTGGTTCGATATTGAACTGGCACTATTATCTAAAAACCGGCCGGTTTTCAGCTTACCGGACCGGTTCGTCGTTATAACAACATTTTAGGGTAAATAACAGTAACTTATAAATAACGGTGTTATTTTGAAATTCAAACCGTTATTTGTAGAAGGGTAAATAACAGTAACTTATAAATAACGGTGTTATTTTAAAATTCAAACCGTTATTTTGCGGCAATATTGCGGTTTTTTTTCATGTTTAAATGGTTTAAATCACTATATAATGAATCTAAAACAATAAATTTGGATTTAAACATTGAAAAAAACGAGTTCCTTGGATTGAAATGGCAGATTTTTTAGGTTTTTAAAAACTTCTGCTATTCTTTTAATAATCTCCTCAATACCTAATGATTCTTCAAGAAAGTTGAGGGGTTTGATTGCTATTTAAAGTATTGACTATATTCAACTGTAATTTGATCATAAAACAAAAAAATAATTATTTTAGCCTGAATGGTTGCTACTCCAAGAACCTGTGTTCTACCCAAAAACGCGGATTTTTGTCCATTTATTGGTTGTTTTTTATCAAATAAAGTTGTGTATTTCAATAATTGAAGCTTTATAGCTCAAATAAAATTACTATGTTTATTTATTATTGAGTAAATTTTTTTATATCAATTTTTTCGTTGCATCATATAACAAAAATTTCATAGATCTCGAATTTCTGCATTTTCTTCAATTAAATAAAAAACAGAGAATATTTTTTGATGATATTGGATACGTTTGAAAGATGATCGAAGCCTTTACAATGCATGTATGTATATTTTTTCAATTATACAAACATTGAGGGTCATTTCTTGCTCCAAATGTTGTTTCATTTTTTGGGTTTTGAAAAGTCGATTTTTCTAAAAAAGATATTTTGTTGAAGAAAATTATGTTTTTTGATAAAGTGAGACGTGTTTTTCTATTTTTCTTAATAAATTATTTGTAATAGAATTATGATTTTTAATAAAATTACATTTTTTTGATGAATATGGGAAGTGTTTTTCTATTTTGCTTAATAAAATTATTCCTTTAATAAAATTATTTTTTAATGAAACTGATTCTTCTTTTTGATAAGTGCATGATATCGTCGCTCGATTTTTTAGTTATCTTTTTTTTTAAGTTGATATATTTATATTTGTAATGATGGAAATAGATATTTTGTTTTTTAAAGTGCATGTAAAATTATGGTCGCTTTATGTTCAATGAAACACTACACCATCTTGTATGTGCTTTGTTCTTCTCCTTTTTCTTTATTTATTTTTTTTGTTCATTCTCTATCAAGTTTTTGGAATGTTATAGAAATAGCCTTTAAAAGATCAACCATTTTTTAAAAAATCGGCTGACTAACTCAGGATCCGTCATTAGCCGATCCTGAGGCCCGATTCCAATGAGAGAGAGAGAGTTATACAAAGATCTTAATTTCAAATCATCTCTTATTTGAGAAATTGATTTTTCTAAAAAAAAAAAAATTCATTTTACTTAGTAAAATTATATATATTTTTTATTAATATGGGAACTGTTTTCTATATTATATGACAAAAATATCTTCATAAAAAATATCCTAAGCTATTTTCAGGCACAGGACCATAGTATTCGAATATTACTTTATAAAAAGTTGTTTCAATTTTTTTTTGTAAAATAAATATATGTAATAAGATATTATACATGTAGTCTAAGTATTTTTAGTTTTTTTAAAAAAAAATTTGACAGGTTTTGACCAATTTTTTTAAAAAAAATCTACTAGACCTGTTAGTCCTGTTAACGGCCCCGGTTAATCTAATTCTGGTTCAAACCGCTCTCAGCCCATGTCCAATTAACCGTTCCGGTTTGATTTTGCAAACACTGATATGAAGTTCCGAATTAATGTAATTCGTCATTCACATGGACTAAGATACAACTTCAATAACTTGGGCTATTTCGGGACTCTTTTTTCTTTGTGAAAAGCATTGAGGGCATTTTCGTCTTTAAAGAAAGGAATGTGATTTCTATATCGCCCTACATATATTACATGATTAAAAAAAAATCAAGACAACTAACCTTCACAAGGGTGCAGCCTTCGCATGTGTCGTTGTCAATGCAAACTCTGCAGCAACAAAAAAAGAAATCAATAAAAACCGAGTACATGACAAGGACTCCTCGAGAGAGACACCACGTGAATTTGGAATGAACGCTCCCAATCAAAAGTATAAATAATCTCCATCAAAACAAACAAACTGGACCGTCCATTATGCAAAAAAATCCGTTAGCAGGTACTGCTCATCTCGATCCAAGGTTAGGCGGTTTCGATATTCCATGAAAACCAACCCTGTCTTGACCGATATCTGATGCATTAAGCCCCGCCATATTTTTTTTTTGTTTTTTTGCTGAAAGTGCGATATGCATTAAGATAATGAAGAGTTACAAGAAAGAAAACAAAAAAAACAAAAAGGCACGTTTGGTTTCGTGTGAAAATATTTTTTAAAAAATGTTTTCACTTGAAAAGTTTTTAGTGTGGTTCAGTGAGAGAATGTTTTCCCTCTAATTAGCCACCAATTGGTGCGAAATTATTTCCACCTGAACCAAAAATGCCAAAAAGGAGAAAATAAAAGAGGAAAAAAGAAAAATGGATTAAGCCCTGCCATTCATCACAAAAGCAACAAACCGGCCATGAGATGGACAGGAACCATGGGTTCTCACCTTGGTGGGTGAATTCTCTCTATGAGTGATTCGAACTCGGGGTCAAAATAGGGATAAGTTCTCTCCATTCTGTAAATTTGGAACATCCAAAAACCATCAACAAATGAGCACAAGAGAAATTGTTAATAAGAGAGCCACAACTCAAATGAATATATAGTGCAGTGATGATGCGTGAGACTCTGGTAATGGACTGGGAGCCAAGCCATCGAAGCAAGCAATAGAGACCTTGACGAGAGAGAGAAAACAACACCATTCATGAAAAAAAGAAAAATCAAACCATTCAAGAGAGTGAGAGTTATCAAGGACCCAGCGCCAGAGAAATGGGATAAGATTGTTGATAGATGGAGTGTTTAGCCATATTTAGAATCAGGATCCAAAGAGAAAAGCAAACAGAAAGAAAGTGATTTAGCCAACAGGGTCAAGCCGTGGCGGCGGGAGATTACGCGGAATCCTATGAAGCGACTTGTTTATCAAGAATTGACAGCAAAGCTGGGCATATCCACTTAATTCGAAAGCGCGATTACCTCCTCGTCACGAGGTGTTATCGGCTGATTGCGGATTGGAAGAAGAAGAATAATCAAATATATCCCAATCTTTTACCGTAATACCAGCCTAACCGTCTCAACCCAATGTAGATCAAACGTATCTATCAACATTGAAAATCTTGATAATTGAAGTATGGCATTATTTTCAAAGACTTGAATAGAGTTTTCTCATGTCCATGAAGTTGAGATAATCGATTTTAAAGCGCGATTACCTCCATCTCATCACGAAGTTATTCTTGGTTGATTGCGGATTATTTTAAAGGGCCCTTTGATGGTTTAGGGCTTCACCCTTATATAAACTTTTTTTATATTTCTACCCTGAGAACGGGTTATTCCATACACCCACATACAATCCGCCTCTCCCAAATTCACCGGGATTACACCTTACACCAACATACAATCCGCCTCTTCCAAATTTCCACTGGTGATGAGCTTTTCAACAAAGAAACCAGATATGATATAGTCGATTATACCTCAAGGGGCTGAAGTCGTGGTGGTAGCATCTCCACACCCTAATTACCATGTTGTGGTTTTCATTCTTACGACTAACATCACCTTACTAACATTTTAAAAAAAATAACTCCTAATCTATTTGAAAAAAAAATTTGACACAGAATTACCCAAATCCACACCTCTTTCTCTAAATAACTTGATGTCCTACTCCTTTTGGGTAATTCAATGTAATTCAGTGGGGAGGACGAGCCCACAAAAGTACACCTACAGAGATTTCTCAAAACATATTTGATGTATCTTAAAACAAATTTCAACAGAGATTGCAAAGAGTCAAACGGGAAGTTGCGAAAGTTTCCGGCACCAACATTTGACAGAGATATCTTGGTATTTCCCCTTTGTAGGGTTCAATGGAATTCGGTGGCTGTATAAACAAACCTGAATAAATTCAGAAGGAAAATCCCCTTTTATTATTAAAAGAACCTGAAGAAATTCATAAGGATAACCCCTTTTTATTATTAAAAGTTAAAAAACCATGTGCTGTATATCAAAAAAAAAAAAAAATGGATGTAAAAAAAATAAAATCTTACATTACCAAAATGATACACCTTAATATATTATTTAAACCGTTCATTGTCTAACATTTTCACATATTTATAGATCATTTTCGGAGTTTTAAATTTTAAAATTCGATGTTAAGTAGATGGTCTTTATTGAAATTTTCATTTTCACATATTTATAGATCATTTTCGGAGTTTAAAATTTTATAATTTGATGTTAAGTAGATAGTCTTTATTGGAATTTTCAATACCGAATGTACATAATTACCCAAAAAATACCAACTGTACATTCGATGAGTTTTGGAGGTGCACCTTATATAGATTGTTTAAAATTGACGCCTCATAGAAACCACATCCATTAAAAACTAATCCTATATATTTTACAGTTTACAATCAAGTCCACCATCTCACACTTAAAAAAATAATTAAATAAAATAAAAATAACCAAAATACCCTACTTATTTGCATGTTGTGCCATATAAATGGTTAAAATTTAATCTTATTTAGATATGTAGAAAAGAATAAAATCAAATAAAATATTCTATCTAAGTAACATGATACATGCCTAGTCCACTTGAGCAACTTGGCCTCACCTTGGTTTTTTGAGTTAGGTGTACAACACACAGATATAAAAATCAAATAAAAATATCCAAAACGGTTAAAAAATGATGGATTGTTTTACAATCTTATTGTATATGATTTGAATGTATTTGATAAAGAATGGTGGATGTTTTTGTATAAAGATGTTGCAATCACTTTTGTCTCTTGGATTTCAAAATGAGTGGTTGTAAGAGTGTGAATGAAAAGACCTAAAGTTCAAATTTTTTTTATCGAATTTTGTGATTAGTCCCAAACCATCCAATTTGAGATCTAATGAATAAAAATAGTTGTGACTTCTTTATAATAAAAATTAATGGTTTTATGGTATACAATTTTTATTTTTATATTTTCTAGTTTTTTAGATTTTTAAGGTATCGTAAATTGTAAATTTTTAAAAAAAATCAAAATTTCCGTACGTTTTTAATGTTTTAATTTATTTTTATTGGATGTTTTATCATTTTTTCAATTTTTTTTCATTTTTATTTTTGTACAGGGCCAAAAGGCCCCATGATAAGACTCGGCAGACGGCTGCTTACGTTAGCAAATTCGATTTGATGTACATTAAGATTCACTAAAAACGTTGATCGCAAACATAAAATATATGAAAATCATTAAAAAACGCAAAAATAAAAGCAATTTTTTTTTAATCTTTCTCCGAAAAATTACGCATATGGTGTGACTCGGCGATTCCGAAAGGTGATATTTTCCTCCTTTAAGGTATCAAACAATCCAGATACTCTGTCGTGGTATCAGCAACCAGTTCGTTAATATAATATTAAAATCAGATTCGAATGATTATATTTATTATTAGCAAGCATGCGGATTACGCAATATCTATTGATCTAATTAAATTAACGAAAAAGTTTATATAGAGCTGAAGCCTTAAACAATCACAATCAGCCTACCTCAAAAATTTTGATAGACGAGATTGTTTGATGGTCAAGAGTCCTCAAATTGATCATCTCGACATCAAGATGTACGGATATGAGAAAAAAATTGATTTCAAATTTTGGAAATAATGTATTTTGTAATATATTTTTTTACCGTCAATTTTCAATATTTTCAAGTTTTCATAGATATGTTGATGTATACCATTTTTGAAGCTATAAACATTATAAATAGATATAAAAATATATTTTAAGGCTATCACAAAATTTTTTAGTATTGAAACTAAATTTATTGACATTATTTAAAGGTACGCTCTAATTTGATTGTTTAGAGCCTAGGCACTATACAAACTGCACCCCTTAAATAATTGCAATTACGCCTGCCAGAAATCCGTTCTTTCCGTCACCAACCCGAAAAAGAAATGAAAATCCTTTCTATAAGTTTCTCATGAGAAAATAGAGCAAAATTTGGGTAAAATTATAGGGAATGTGAACCATACACTACCGGGGCATATTTTGTACACCACAGGTGGTCCACGATCTGTTACTGGACGGTGGGGATTAACTGTACTTTCCAATAGCGGACACGCATATGCCCCCAATGATTCACCACCGCCCATTAACGAGAAAAAAGCAGATGCCCCAATTCATACAACACACATACACCACATGTTTACTATTGTCAAGAGAGAGAGCGAGAGGAAGGACTTCAATTTGAGAGAGAGAAAGAGAGAGGCATGCCATCAAATTAAGAGAGAGAGAGAGAGCGAGAAGAGGAGGGAGAGTACCCGATGCACCAGAATTCATATGCTCGCCATTTGCGCAGTGAGAGAGAGGAAAGCTTGACGTATTGCTGACAAAACCCGCTCGTATGAAAAGGCAGCGTATTGAAAATCAGTCTTTGTCAGACAGAGGAAAACTAAACTAAAACCCCCTCCTTTTGACTTTCCAGCTCAGCCTCTGGTAAAAAAACCACATGAAATCAAAGGCCAAAAGGCACTGTGATTCGATTTAAATTTTCCTTGAATCACAGTTCTTAATCTATCAGAAAGAAAGAAAATGAACTTTAAATTACTCTTAAGTGCCAGTACTAATGAAGGAGAGAAAAGAAGAAATTGATTGATGGAGAAAGAAAGAGAAACTTCTAAATGGGATTTACTCGATATATGCATGAGAGTCCAACCTTAAACCATTTCGGATCAAGAAACACGGGCTATGCTGTAAAATAACGGACAAAGGCATTACCAAGAAACAAGAAATAAGAAAATGAAGCACAGATCAAACAGAGAAAATGTGAATATTGTCTCTCTAAAGGAAGAAGAGACAAACAGAAAAACGAAATATGTAAAAATGAGTGAGTGAAAAGACCGATCAGAACAGGGCGATCTCCAGCACTTTTACAGAACAAATGAGAAGCGATAAGAGAGAACAGAGAAGGCTCTGTTCTGTAATTCCTATCAATTATTTTTCTAAACGCTTTTTGTCTTCCATTCTCGGTTTCCGATGCCGTCTTCACGAAAAATGAACATTATTTCTTCTTTTTTTCCTGATGGGAGGAAAACGATCATTCATTGCCTTATGAACTCTGATAAAGAAAAACTTTCGTATATTTACAGGTTATAAAAGCTCTCTCTCTCTCTCTCTCTCTCTCTGTAAAGCGTTTTGTTTTGGTGAAAAATTACAGTTGGACCTACTTTCAATTATTTGCCGAAACGCTCTGGTTGTGTCGTACGGTTTCGTGTACTCTGAACCCGTGACGAATAACCAGTAATAAGAATCCATTTAACTCGACTTGATCAGAGAAGAATTGGAACCTCACCATTTTTCAACATTCCTCTTCCATTTCCCATGAATTTTATCTCGGGACGAGAATTGACAACAAAATGCTTAAGGTTATGGAATCAAACAAGTAAATTTGAACAGAAACTAAAATCATGAAAGACAGCTTGAGTTTACACCACTAGTCCAGTGAAATCAAGAAGAACAATGAGAAAGAATTCAATGAAACGATTGACGCATTAGCCAGAAAGGAATGTTCAAACCTTGAACAAAAATTAAGAAAGGGGAGACCAAAATCATGTCTAATTCCTCCATTTAACCCTTGCAATCGAGGAAAAACTAACAAAAACACAGAAACATAGAATAGAAAGCCTAATTCTCCGCCATTAAACCTATCAAACAAACAAGATTCAAAGATCGTCAAAAAAGAAATGAGGCTCAAAACGAAACATTTAACTCACCTTTGAGCTCTGATTCTTCAATAAACTCATTTACAGGCCAAAATCCTCAACCGCCATTTATTCCAAGGATGGGAGAGAGAGAGAGGTGATTTTGGTAACAGTGGAGACAGAGTAAAAAGGTCGGCGGAAGAAACCCCGGGAATGGAGCTGGTCAATAACGGACAATCATTACTCTGTTAAAATCAATTAAAAGACCGTGGATTAACCACGGTTATCGCTTCCATGGTTAATGAGCTAACCGTGGTTACCGCCTAACCCAGGTCCCGGGCTCCATTAGCTCCTGTTTTCCCATGACACTTGGACAAATCCTACACGTGGCGTGTTCTCGTTGAGGCTGGGCCTTTCTTAGCCTTCTCGTGCCGTTGTTATAACTCCTCTCGTCGAATTCGATGCTTTTTGACGTTAGAGAAATGCCCAGTCTTTTTGGCTATATTTCTGGTACACCTCTGTGATCAGAATGGTATTTGTGATCAGCACATGCCGCATGCATGTGAAATGGATGCATGGATTCATGCCCCTTCCCATACATGTACGGGTATAATTGTGCAAAGAAACCTTAAATAGTGTTGAGAAATGTGATTTCAATACTAGAAATTTTTGTGATAGCTTTAAAATATATTTTTATTTTTAATTATAAAATTTAAAATTTCAAAAGTTGTATGTAGATCGAGCATATATATGAAAACTTGAAAATCTTTAAAATTTGACAATCTAAAAATGCATTACAAAATGCACTATTTTCAAAACTTGAAATCCGTTTTTTCTCATGTCCATGCATCTTGATGTCTAGATGATCAATTTGAGGATATTTGGGCACCAAAAGAAGAAAATATGTTTTGTTTTTAACAAGTAAGTATAGATCAACTGCCCTGATTTTGCAAGAAACCAAACTCCCGAGCCCTACTTTGTCTAGGGTTAGGGAGGTATAGGGTCTAGGGGCAGTAGATTTTGTGGGGTTTGATTATGTAGGACAACCAGGGGGTATTTGGATCGTGTGGGACCCAACTGTGTTGCTTTCCTTTTCAGTGGTTAAAAATGACTTCTTCATTCTAGTTGGTTTTGTGGGTCCACAAGCTAATTTGCAATGGGGTCTTATGAATGTATATGGTCTGTAGAAGTATGCTAAAAAATTGTGTTTCATTTCGGCTATGTCTGAAACTATTTCTCAGTTTCAATTTCTTATTTATATTGGAGGAGATTTCAATTTCACAAGATGGCCGGAAGAGACTTTTAATGAGGGGCAATTACGACTTCTATGCGTCTATTTAATAGATTCATTGAATCTAATGCTCTCATCGATTTACCACTACCAGGGGCAAAATACACTTGGACTAATGGGAGCTCTTTTTTGCTCTCTATGTCTAAAATTGATATATTCTTAGTGACCCCTAAATGGAGTGATTGATTTTCTCTTGCTTCGGTTAGAGCTCTTCCTAGACTTTCTTCGGATCATACTCCGATATTGCTTACATCTAAGGTTTGTCTGGGAGGCTCTAAACTTTTCCGTTTGGAAATTGCTTGGCTTATGGAGAAAGAGGTTCGGGAGATTATCAAAAGCACCTAGGAAAATTCGATTACAGGAGGGTCTCTTGACTTTCAACTGCATAAGAAGTTGTTTAATGTTAATCACAAGCTTGTAGAGTGGAAAAAGGAGAAGCAGTATTCTATTGGGAAAAATATTGATGAGGTGTTGGGTTCCATTAAATCCATTGGCCCTTCGGCGCAACAAAATGGTACTTGGTCTGATGAATTGGTGGAGGAGAGAAGTACAAAGCTTTATGAGTTGCAGGAGCTTAGGAGGGTCGAAGAGGAGTATTGAAAACAAAAGTCAAGAGTTAAGTGACTTAAGGAAGGAGACTTGAACACAAAATTTTTTCATGCTATAGCAAAGCCATGAAGACGTCAAAATGATATATTAGGTTTGTCGATGGAGGGTGTCGATTCTGAGGATAATGAGAGTCTATCCAAAGCGATTATTGATCATTTTCAACGGGTCTTCTCTTCGAAAGTGTCACATACCCCTACTTTAAGTCGGGTGGGCTTTAAAGTTATTCCTCCACATCTCATTGCTTTTTTGGATAGGGATGTTTCGATGGAGGAGTTAAAAAAGGCAGTTTTTGCCTTGCTTGGTGATAAGACACCTGGTCCAAATGGTTTTCCTTTAATCTTTTTTAATAAGTTAATCTCTAATATTGCTATTTTTCTGGAGTGTTGTGTAGTAGCATTAGGATTAAAAATAATTTTTGGGAAAACAAGTATGGTGAGCCTTAATTGCTCATAGGAAAATGTTGCATTACTAGTGCAGGAGTTTGGGTGTAAGGTAGACTATTTCCCTATTATTTATTTGGGAATGTCTTTATCTGATGGGAGACTTCCCATTGCAGTATGGGATAAAATTATACAGCGTATCCAAGTTAAGTTAGATCTATGGAAGTTTAAGTATTTGTCTTTTGGGGGGAGGATTACGCTTATTAAGGCATGTCTGTCTAATTTGCCAATTTACCAAATATCTCTCCTGCAGATTCCTACCTCGGTTGCTAAGAAAATTGAAAGCATGATGAGAAATTTTATTTGGGGTTCTTCAATAGAAAATAAAAAGGTCCACCTTCTTCGTTAGGATAGGGTATGTACACCTAAACAAGAAGGGGGCCTAGGCATAAAGAAGGTTAAATTGGTTAACCATGCTCTTCTATGCAAGTGGTGGTGGAGGAGTTTGACTCTTAAAAACCATCTATGGTATCAAGTGATTGCCTCGAAGTATGGTACTGACAGATTTGGAATGTGGGTAGGTACTTTCAGAGGACGTACACGATTGTAGGCTTGTTGGAAGGCTATACAATCTTGTGGAAGCTTTATGCAAAGGGACATTAGGTAGTGTGTTGGTAATGGCAGGAAAATTTCCTTTTGACACCACAAATGAGTTGGGGATTACCCTCTAAAGTTACTTTTCCCACTCGTTTTTCAAAAGATAGCAAATCAGGATGCTACTATCTTAGATAATGTGGTGCACAGGGTTGATCACACTGTTTGGAATCTCAATTTCCCTTATAATAGGATTTCAGACTTATTGCTCTCTCAGTACTCTAATCTACTTGTGCTTTTGGAAGAGGTGTACATTCCTCAAGATGTCGATGCTATTGATGAGGTGGTTTGGGAAATTGACAAAAATGGGTTTTATTTGGTCAAATCCATGTATCACTTGTTGTTCAATGATAGAGTCAGATGGTCCATGCCGGTACTTGCCAGCTTGTGGAAGTAGCCTTTACCTCTAAAAGTACAAGGTTTTTTGTGGTTGGAAAAGTGCGAGACAGAATTCTACATGCTATATGGCTCTATCTTTCTATTATTCCATGTGGTAAGGACATCACTGAAGTGGATGTCATGAGAAACTTGAATACTATCTTCCATTTCAATATTTATAAATGTCGGGCTATAGGCAGATGGATGGCTCCGCCAGCTGGGGTGTCCAAACTTAACTTCGATGGTAGTTTGAAGGCAACCTGGGACAAGCAGGATTTGGAGGGGTGCTACGCGACTGGCTTGGCAATGTGATTTTTTTGCATACGGGGCTACTTGGGGTTATGACTGCTAATTATACTGAGCTATAAGCCCTCCTTTTTGGGTTACAAACTATTGTGGAGAGGAAGCTAGGGATTAAATTCATCATTGACGGTGATTATCTTAATGTGATTTTGTGGTGCAAAAAGGAACAACTGCTTCCATAGGACTTTAAGGCTTTATTGCTGCAGATTTTGGATCTCTGCTCCTCTCTTACTATTTCTTTTATTCATGTTTACAATGAGGCTAATGCAGTGGCAGACTCTCTTACCAAAGGAGGTTCCTCCCTTCTTTTTGTTTTTATTTCGGACTCTGTAATTACATTTTAGTTCAATAAAGTTGTGGAATTTCTATATAAAAAAAAAAAAAGCCTTGGCTCTTTATAAATTTTTTCCATTTCATACATATGATCATCATCTTTCAAGTGTTATGTCGCTAACATAAATCATATTCTTTCATTCTTACTGTAGCATAACATACGATTTAGGTAATATGATTTATATGGTCATGACACCTAACATGACCTAGACGTTTTCGCCGTTCATCAATGGAAAAGAGGGTGATGGAGGCAGTGGGCCGTCAAATGAGTGGATTGTGATGATCCACATGGTCGTGCTATTGGGAGGATAATACGCTTTTCCCACTTGATTACATACATAGCAGGAAGGCGGGAATAACCTCGTACCCGCGAATCAAAAAGCTGATATTTTAGTCCAAAAAATTGGAGGCAAAAAAGTCTATGTAAAAATATGGATCTCCAAAAAGTTGGCAAGTTGAAAGTCAGGTGAATATTTTGGATTTGACATAAGAAATAGAGTGAAAAATAAGATATGTAAAAATGGAAGAAGACAAAAAATATGTTGTTTACATTCATTGTAGGAAAATTGTTCGCAGCCCCCATCAAAATAAGTAAAGCCCCACCTTATACTCATAGACAATTATAACTCAAGCATTGAAAAACCTTTTCATCAATTATTAAAATTATAATTCAAGCATTGAAAAACCTTTACATCAATTATTTTAGTTTGAATATTATGGATGCGTAAAAAATAAGATTTTAAGCTCTAAAAATAATTTTTATTGTAACAAATTATCTAGATCGTCTATTTCGACCTAAAAACAAGTATTCATAGATCCGCAATATATGTACCATTTTTTGAGTTTCGAATTTTATTGTCGATGTTAGATATTGATTTTAGAGACATCATCGAGATTTTTCTTACCGAAGTGCTTTCAGGACATGGATTTAAGATGACGCTTTATTTTATATTTGTGAACCTTAGGCCTAATAGAAACCTCACCGGCACATTAAAGTCATTAAATGATAATTCTATGTCCTAGCCTGGTATCATTTAGACTCTTGCTGACAAATTTTTGTCGAAATTTTCCTCGAAACGTAACAATGTTCTATTCATTATCACGAGACAAAATAGATGATGATTTTACTGGGTGCATGTAATGAAACAGCCACAACAGAATACAACTATACATCAATAATTAACAAGAATTTTAACCCAAGGTAAAGGATTGATTTTCAAAAAGCAGAAAGGCCACTAGCATAAGTTTACAGTTAATAAAAATATAAAAACTAAAAAAATGTGGAAATGGTTGT